TATATATATATATATATATATATATATATATATATATATATATATACATATATATATATATATATATATTTATACATAATATTCTGTAAGTAATATTCTCATTGTAAATTGTATTCTGTAAGTAATATTGTATTTTATATTATATTAAAGCAGAAAAATATATATTTTAATTTAATAAAAAAATCGGTAGCCTAGCACCAAAGATATGCAAAAGCGGCATATACACGACGAAACCGTACGTGTATTTTTTTTTTATTATTTACGCGAATTATTTAATTGAGTACAAACACGATTATCGTATCGCTATAATGGCTGAATTAATTGTATATTAAGGAGACTCAAACGATAGCTTGGAATCCTTATTAGAAAAATATTTATTTTTACGCTATGTAATCTATGAGTGTAGTTATCCAAGTACAAATTCTAAAATCGTAATACTTACGATTAACCCGGGAGTGGAGTCGTACCGGTCATTTCCCCGTACTTTTTCGTTTTCCATTTATAGCATCTAGTCTATTGATATTATCGTATTTTCGCTTTTACGTAAATTTTCTTTGATGTTTTCTCGTATAGCATGGAGAAATAGACGGCGTAGACGCGCTTATTTCTATGTGAAATTTGATACGTTTGTAGCAGTCGGTCTAAAAGACCATAGCGCGCCTATTAACGTTAGTCTTTTATCTCTGCCGCGTCAGCGTCGCTCGATGTGCCGCCAAACGTCTATCGTTTTTTTGACATCGTAGTTGGACGGTTCTCTCTAGTGTCTCGAATATTACAATTATAAACGTACAAACATGAGTAAGTGATCTAGAAAGAATTATTTAGAAGGATATAAAACAGAAAAGACAATTAGTGATTTGGAGGATTTTGAGTACATATATTAGACATTAATAAGCATTAATAAGCATTGTACCAATGCAGTTAAAATAAAAATGATTTTATTTTAATATATTCACATATATGTATAATAAGTTTAATATGTTTCTTAAACATATTAGATATAGAAATGGTAAAGAGAAAAAAAGAGGGGAAAAAGAAGAAATAGTGACATAATAAAATTATTTACTTCAATTATTATGTTTCTTTTAATAATTGAATTGGTAATTTATTAATTATTACTCAATTATTATACTCAATTATTATATGTGCTTAAATATATTTCGATCGAAATGACTGGTACGCGCCCGCTAACGTTGGTCCCGTTAACGACTCCACTCCCGGGTTAAAGGTTTGCAGGAGTCGTAGACAAATCTTTAATTTAGAGACTGTGAACTATTGCCATCTGTGTGTAGATGTATGTCCATACGCCCTACACAAGCTCATTGTTCGCGCGGACGTAATTGAAGGAAAGTTGAGTCAAGTTAATTAGATAAAGACAACTCACATAGCACCGAATTATTGCAGAAATATGACATTGCACGTTTGCAATGTTGCAGCAAAGTTGCAATGTCTGCTCTTAGAGAGATTGTAGTATATCATTACAGCAATGTTGCGGAAGAATATATTTGCAATAAAGAATGTATTTGTAATGCAATGTTATTATATATACGTAGTATATACGTTATACGGGATGAATATGAACAAATAGATGGAACTGTTTTACTACGCAGGATTGTTAGCATTGCGTTATCGACGCTCTCGCTTTGTAAGTTAAGATGCCTTACAGAAATATCATATTAAGAAATACTGAAAAATTATTACCAAGACAGCAAAAAATATTTATAAAATTTATTTGAATATAAGGTGTAGTAAAAAGAAATTCATTATTTTTCCAATAGATGGCTTTAGTAATGTATATCTCGCGTTGTATAAGAGCGATCGGTTTACGCTAGATGGCGTTAGAAAGATAAGATTTCGTACTAAAAAAACTTCTGAGACAGTTTTGTGATTGTTTGGCTCAGTATTGTTTGAGCGCGCGTCAAAGATGGACACCAGCAAAGAGAAAATACGCCATATTTTACAGTTTTTCTTCGATAAAGGCGAAAACGCAAGCCAGGCGGCTGAAAATGTGAATAGTGTTTATGGTCCTGATACTGTAACAGCCAATCACGCGCATCAATTGGTTTCGTCGATTCCGTTCCGGTAATTTTAATGTCAAAGATGCACCACGTTCTGGAAGGCCAATTGTCGAAAATGTCGATAAAATAATGGAAATCGTCGAGTCCGACCGTCATGTAAGCACTGTTTCGATTTCCCAGGAGCTAAACATTGCACAAAAAACCGTTTGAAACCACTTGAATAAGGCTGGATACAAAAAGAAGCTCGATGTATGGGTGCTACACGAGTTAACGCAAAAAAACCTCATGGACCGGATTTCCATCTATGAATCGCTGCTGAATCGCAACAAAATCGACCCATTTCTGCAGCGGATAGTGACTGGTGATGAAAAGTGGGTCACTTACGACAACGTCAAGCGAAAACGGTCGTGGTCGAAACGCGGTGAGCTGGCGCAAACGGTGGCCAAGCCAGGATTGACGGTCAGGAAGGCTTTGCTGTGTGTTTGGTGGGATTGGCAGGGAATCATCCACTATGAGCTGCTCCCCTACGGCCAAACTCTTAATTTGGACCTGTACTGTCAACAATTGGACCGTCTGAAGGAATCAATCGCCCAGAAGCGGCCAGCTTTGGCCAATAGGAGAAGAATTGTGTTCCATCAGGACAACGCCACACACATCGATAGTGACGGGAGCGGTGCACTTGGACACGGTGCATTTGGACACAGCCAATCACAGCACCGTGTGATTAAAGACATTTGTAGGGTCCCTTGGAACAGCGACTTGTGATTGGACTGTGTCCAATTGCCCCGTGTCCAACTGATATACACCCGATAGTGACTCGCCAGAAGTCCCGGGAGCTTGGTTGGAAAGTTCATATGCATCCACCTTATAGTCCGGACCTGGCACCAAGTGATTACCACCTGTTCCTGTCTATGGCGAATGATTTTGCTAGTGAAAAATTTGCCTCAAGAGAAGCTTGTGAAAATCGACTGTCCCAGTTTTTTGCCGATAGAGACAAGGGTTTCTATGAGAGAGGCATAATGGAATTACCTTCAAAATGGCAACAAGTTATCGAACAAAACGGTGCATATTTGACCTAAATTGGATCATTCTAACTATGCTAAATAAAGCCTTCAATTTCATGCAAAAATAATGGATTTCTTTTTATTACACCTTATATTTTATAAATATTATAACGATGCCTCACATGCATCGTTACTAACAGCCCGACCGAACACCCGGGGTTTAAACGGTGCTATGCGCCGCACAAAAGCCACTAGACCGGAAGTAAACATAAACACGCACCCATATCGCGACTAAACAAGACAACAGCGTGCGTGTCATAAACAAAGACTAACAGCGAAATCGTGTATATAAACCGTGGCCGAAAAGTAAGCGGGACCAGACCGTCTACCGAACTCGATGCTTCAGAGCGGAGAGCAAGGATTTTGACCGTATCGTTACTGCCTTTTCGTATGCTTCCATACTTGTACAGACAAAACTCGCAACAGGAGATTGTATGTTCGCTATCTCCGTCGAGAGCTCTTGACACCGACTTCGCCTTCCCATCTGATTCCAACGACCGGCCAATGAGTTCGTGTGTTCGCGAGTCTCATTGAGCATTCTCGGTACCGATCGTATCCTATCTCGAATTGCAAGTACACGTGTCAATGTCCCAAACAGCACACGATATCCCATGGACGTTCTGTGGATGTCCTTAGGACATTGGGGCATCCTCAGGACATCCCGAGGAGATTTGTGTTGTCTGGGTGTGTTCGCTGTGCTCAGTCGAACGTTGTCGATACTTGCATATATCGCGTCAGCGACAAGCGAGTCGCCCGATATATCGCGCCGCGTGCTAAGACACGATCGTACCGCTATCACCGCTGGGCCCCCGCGGCCGCTGAATTTCCAGTACCGCGATTCGTGAGCGCCTCGCGACTTACCGACCCCGTCTTCTGCGATACACTGTGTTCGTGTTATACGTTCCGCCTATTGAAGCGTGAGACACGTACTACCAAAATTGCGACTCGATTACTGACACCGTCTCACATCGAAACACCTGAGATATCGTATTCTGTTCTGTACCAAAGATTATTAATAAACTTGTGTTATTTATTTTTGTTAATTGCTTGTGTCAAACAATTATTGAACCCGAACTCCGACGAGCGAAATTCCTGGCGATTTCTTCGACAACCGACACGCGGAGCTCGGCTGTTACAATATTTATTAAAATATTTCATAAATAGCTTAGCTTCAATAGATGATAAATATTTATTATAAATATTATAAAAATATTTATTAAAATATATACATTTATATACTTTTTTCTCTTTTCTGAACTTTTCTTAAATTTTTAAAATATATATCCATAAGGGAACAAAAACCTCTAGTGAACGTCCAAAAGAGATCCATCATGGAGATTTGTAACCTCTATTAAAGATCCATGAAACTGCCAATAGACATCTACTAGATATTACAGTTCCGCATTTCAAACCTCCATTCTACGTCTATTATACCTCCATTCGACGTTCTCATAAATGTGTATTAGACGTAATATAGATTAATCTTAGATTTTTCATGAAACTTAAATAGATAACTAATAGAAGTCATACGGATTTATTATATACGGTCAATTTTAAAATTATTTTAATATTAAAAGGTTCCCTCATAGCACATTAATATTGCTATAAGGTTATAGCAACTTTAACTTCTAAGTTAATAACATTACACGGAGTAGCATTACAATAAACCTGCTAACCTTCAAGTAATCTGAAAATGTTCGTCCATACTGTTACATCGCAGCGGAATCTACCTTTGTCTCCATATGTTAGATTCTTAGTCACAATAGACCGTCAAAATATCTCGTTTATTTTCTCACTTGTACAGATTAGATAGGATACTTGTAACAACCAAACCAGGTTCTCGGACCACTTTTTCGATACGAGATACCCTTTTTCTTTCCTTTTCCTCTCTGTTTTTGGCTGTTTTATTCACTTTCAATAATTTTAACGAATAAATACCCGAACATAAACAACTTTTTCAATTAACTAAAGACGATGTTACATATTTATATACTATAAAATATATACTATAAGAAATAATTAAGATAAAAGAACAATTCAAAAACACAGAGGATAAGTTCCACATAACAAAATAATTAAAAAGGATTTATTGAAATTTCACTTCGATCTATATATAATTAGATAAATCTAGAAATTTAAGTCAAATTTTAGGTTTAAACGTAGGAGAGAGTAGGGCTGACGCGGAGCTCTACTATCTCCTAATAAATATATAAACAAATACGATAATAGATCCTATGGATTCTGATTGGATATTAAAAAAAAACCCTCCTACTAGGAATTGGGTATAAAAAGCGTACACCAAGGGCCAGCGAGTCAGTACGGAATTTTTAGTCAGAAGAGACAGTCAGTCAGACAGTACGTCAGAACAGTACGGAATTTTTAGTCAGAAGAGACAGTCAGTCAGACAGTACGTCAGAACAGTACGGAATTTTTAGTCAGAAAAGACAGTCAGTAAGACAGTACGTCAGAATAA